GGGGGGGGGGTTACGTTTTCGTGGCAGCAATAAAAAAAAAATTTTTTTTTAAAAGAAAATTTTCTTTTCTTACTTTTCCCCAGAAATTTAAAAAAAAAAAAAAAATTCAATTTGAATTTTCTTTTTTTATAAATTGTTCATATCACGCAAATTATTACAAAAAATAAGGAAAACTTAAAATTTCTAGAAAATTCGACCTTTCATGCGATAAAGAAAACCGTGTTGCATGTTCGAAACGATTTTATAAGAAGAAAAAAAACCTTTTCTAATAATATGATTGCCCCCCATCCCCCCCCAATTCCTTCCCCATATCCAACCGTTATTAAAAAAAAAAAATTTCTTCTGCGGTTGTTTTAATTATTAATTTTAATTATGCGTTTCTCGAAAAAAAATAAAAAATCGGTTTTTTACCTGGAGAAATTCCCCCCTTTTCCTCCTATTCTCCCCACCATTCCGCCCCCCAAAAATATTACGGAAAAATTATTAATAATAATAATAAGAAGAAATTTTTTCAAAAATTTATATGAACTTTTGTGGAAAAAAAAACCTTAAAAAAGCAATGAAAAAAAAAAAAAAAACAAATTAACGGTTAAAATCGTTAAACCGGAAACGGAAGTTTAAAACTCGTACGACTTTAAATAAAAACCAATTAAATTTAATTTAAAAAATAAAATTTCTATCATTTTTAATTTTTATTTTAATTTTTATTTTTTTTGGATCGAACAATAATCAAAAAATTATCAATTAAAAAAAATAAACGTGGAATTAGACAATGTTAAAAAGGTAAAAAAGAAAAAAAATTACTAAAGTAAAAAATTTTCCGATAAATCGTTAATAAAAAAAATTTTTTTTTTTATTTCTCCGCCATTTTTCTTTTTTTTTCTAGAAAATTATTTATTGTTATATTTATTCATTTTTTATTTGATATCGTCTGCTATTTTCCACGATTATTTGTCGTGGCATCATCACGACATCTTTTTTTCTTTAAAAAATTATATGATTTATATTTTGTTTATAACATTCGAAATAATTTTAGTTAATAATTATCGATATAACATGCAAGGAAGATGAATAATTTAAAAAAAAAAACAAAAAAAAGGAAAATCTATTCCCACGATCATTTTTTTCTTTTCTGATGCCCCTTTTTCCCCTGGGACCGCCACTCCTGCCAATTTTCTCAAAAGGATGGGAGTAACCGACGGATCCGATACCGTCAAAATTTTTTTCTTTTTTTTTTTTAATTTTCCATCGTATTTACAAAAAACAAAAAAAAACAATAACAACAACAACAACAATAATAATAATAATAATAATAATAATTTTTTTGTAACAAAAGAATTTTCAACAAACAAACAAACAAACAAATGAAAATTTTTTTATTATTTAATAAATGAAAACAACCAAACCCACGCCCGTACAATTTTTTTTTTATTGTAAATTAAATTTTTCATTTAAATTTTCCGCCGTTATATTAAAAAAAAAAAAAAAACCGGAAACGGAAACTCTTACACAAAAAAAAAAAAAAATTTAGCGGGTATTCAACCGTCACATATATCGTAACGCCTAATTTTACGTACCTTCTACCTACTTTTTTTTTTTATTTCGTAAACTCATTCCTTTTGATAAATTTTTATTAAAAAAAAAAAAGTCGTGGAATTAGAAAATGTTTAAAAAATATCGTTTTACATAATCGCGTGACGTTTTTTTTTTTTTTTTTATTATATATAAGTCAAATAAGATTTATTTTATTGACAAAAAAAAAAAACATGTCGGAGATATCGTCATAAAAAGGGAGAGAGTAAAAAAAAACGTGGCTTAAGAAAATATTATTAATAATAATAATTTTATTTTGTTTAACCGGGGGTATACGTCGTCGTTTCCTTTTTTTTTTAAACATTATCATTATTATTTTTTAATAAGTTCGAAAGTTAATATATAGAAAAAAAAAAAAATTTTTTTTGTTAATGACACGTACAATTGAAAATAATTAACAGTCCGATGAACGATAATAATAAAAAAAACGACAAAAGAAATTACGTCGATTATAAATAAGAAAACCGGAAATAACGATAACAACACCCTTCCGGTTTTACAATTAAAATTTTTTTTTTTTGTTGTTTGTATGTCATGATGGCAACACCCAAAAAATTTAAAAAAAAAAAAAATGGGAATAAAGGGGAAAGTCGAAGGGAGGGAAAAGAGGATGGATCTCTACCCATCCCTCTTCTCTTCCTCTCCTCCTCCCCGCCCCGCTCCTCCCTCCCCCGTCGATTCCTTTTTCCCGGCATAATATTTTTAATAAAGTTTTTTTTCCGGACATTGGAAAATTTTTGCTTGTTTGTATAACCTTTCGTTTATTTTTAACCTTTTTACCATTATCATTATTATTAATATTATCTGTGTTCATAGAGTAAAAAATTTTAGCAGACGAAAATTCGATATTGAAATAATAATATTTCTTTTTAAAATAATCGATTTTTAAATGTTGGAAGTTGTAAACGTAAATGTATAACCGCAACAAGTCTTAATAATCTTTTCATTTTGTTTTTGTTTTTTTTTTCTGAAACCACGACCAGATTTTCTATAAAAGCATTTTAACCGATTTCACTCTTTCCGTTTCCGGTTAAATTTTTTTTTTTTTTTCCTGGTAAAATTGAAAATTGTGCGACAGTAGGGATTTTCCAAAATTAAATTTTCAAAATTTTTTGCGCGTTTATTTTCTCTATGACTGCAATGTTGCCATATTTTCACCTTTTTAATTCTATGATTTTCCCTTCCGGAAAAAAAATTTTTTTTTTTTGTTTTTCAAAAATTTTTTCACATTTCGTGCGCAGAAACGAAAAACCTTATAATTATTATTATCATCATTGACTAAAACATTTTCTTTTTCCACGTATGCATAATAACAATGATTCGTGAATTCCATTTCCGGTTGTTTTTTTCAACGGTATACTAATTATTCATAAATTTTTATTTTCCGTTTTATTATTTTTCTTCAACCCTTTCGATCGACTCCCGAAAGGAGGGAAAAAAAATTTTTTTTTTTGGACAATCACAAACCAACGTAAATAAACTTTTTAAATTATTCGCTCTGTTTAAAACAGTTGGCAACACTGCTTTATAAAAAAAAAAAAAAAAAACTCGTTTACGCAACATATTTCACTAAGTTTTTCACGGTTCGAAAAGTTTGTTACGCTTCAATCTTGCCAACTTGGCAGAGAAAAGGTATTATAACCGATGTATTGTTTGTAGTTGAAAAAAAAACAAGGCTAAATAGAAATTCAACGTGGAAATAGAAAAAAAAACAAATAATTTTTCTTCTTTTTTTCTTCTTCCACGTTTTTTTTTTTTTTAAATTTTTTAATTATTCCTTATAAAACTTATTACATTTAAATTGCGAAAAGAAAAAGAAAAAATTTTTTTCGTGGCATTAGAAATATATTATTAATCGGACAATGTTTTCTTTTCACGGTGTTTTAATTTATAAAAAAAAAATGTTTTATTAAAATATAATAATAATAATAATCGTCGAACGTTATTTTAAAATAATTTTTTTTGTTTTTTTTTATGAAAAGATGGCAACCCTGTTTTTTTTCTAATCATCGACTTCGTTTTGGTCGGTGATTCTCACGCCTTTTGAACTTAATTAACTGTTTTATATATATGATTTTTTTTTATATATCTTCACATGAGTTATTTCAGTATATCGAACTCACGCACGCACACGCATGCACGCACATACACGCATCGAATACCTTTTTTTTTATTATTATTTTTCGCTCCGAATAATATGGAGGATTTCGTTACGAAAAAATATCCCTGTTATTATTATTATTATTATTATTAATAAAATATTATTCGAGTGCGTTATCATAAAAATAAAAAAATAATAATAATTTCATATAAAAATTTTCATCCGCCATATTTGTTGTCGTCTGTAATTTTATTTAAAAAAAAAAAAGAAAATTATATATCATTATCAATCACTTGATAAAACTTTTCTTTTTTACAATGCCATCTATCGGATTTTTTTAAAAACAATTTAAATTCTAAAAGCTTTCGATGTCGTCTGCGTTTTCGAAATCGCTACAAACAATTTTCCAAAAATTTCATTTTTTTATAACGTAACGATTTTTTTTTTTTTATACGTACATACATATTCAAACTTTATTTGTTTTCATTTTACTTTTTCACCCTGACAACCGGTTTCATATCGATCCAAAAAATATTTTAAATTATTCATTTCCGGTCGTGAATAATAAGTTAAGTTACACGAAAAGGAAAATAATAAAAAAATAAACAATTTACAAGGCTGTGTGTTTGTGTGTGCGCGCGCTCTATCGGATATTTTCGTATTTAAACGAGTGTTCGTTTTTTTTTTCCAGTTTAGTAAATAAATAAATATTGTTTACTTATTTAGTAGTATTATTATTATTATTAACTTGTTTAAACTGGAAATAATGTCCGTAAGGAAAGAAAGGGTAATTATTATCATTATTATTATTGTTTTACGTAATTAATTATTTCGTAAAGAGAGAGAGAGAGAGAGAGAGCGAGAGAAAAAAAATTCATTGTTGTTTAAAATCTATGTCAATGATGAAAAAGGTCGTGTCGTGAAATAAAAAATTTTCAGAGCAAAAAAAAAAACAAACAACAACCGATTGTCGTAATGATAATAATAATAATATATCTAATGATGATGATGATGATGAAAAAAAAATTAGCGAAATAATAATAATAATAATAGTAATTAATTTATTCGTGTTTGACAGAGCGAAAATAAATAATAATATTTCCCCTTTTGTTGTTGTTGTTGTTAATAATTCTAATTACACGTGTAGAGAAAGTAAAAATGAATTTTTCTTCGCACACGATTATTAATTTAAAAAAAATTTTTTTTTTTTTTTGTCAATTAGGAATCGATAAAAAAACCAGAGAAAAAATCATCCATGGAATCTCTGACGAATAAAAAAATAAAAATAAATAAAGATAATCAAAAAATGGCATCGTCGACCGTGTCACCAGATAAAATTAAAAAATTAAAAACGACGACGAGTGAAAAATCCGGAGGTACGTCACCTTTAGAAAAAATATATTTTAAAAAAAAAACGGAAACGGAAAAAAGTAAAAGAGATCCGGATAAAAATGTCAAACGTGCGTTGCTATTAAAAAAAGAACAAAATATTAAATTGAGAAAAGATTTAAAACCGGAAATGATTTATTTAAAAGATTTTTCGAGTAAAAAAACTAATAATAATGATAGTAAAAAAGATGGTGATGATGACGGCGATGATGATGATGGTGACGAAAAAAAAAAAAAATTAAAATTATTAGAAAGTCATGTTAAAAAAGAAGATAATGGAGTCGGTGGTGGTGATGGTGGTGCTGTTGCTGCTGCTGCTGCTGATGGAGCTGCTACTACTGGTAGCACTGCTGGTGGTGGTGGTGGTGACGGTAATAAAAGAGAAAAAAGTAAAAGAGACAGAACGAGAACGAGAACATTAAGTCCGACAGAAATAAAATTATTAATACCGAATAAAATGGATATGACCGGAAATAATAGTTTAAAAAAAGAATCCAATTTAAATCATGGGATTGCAACTTCCGGTCCTACAGGAAGTGACGATTCAGGGACAAAACCTACGATGGATGCTGTGAAAAATCAATCGGATGATGACGACGATGAGATAAGCAAAACGGAAGAAAGTAAAGAAGATGAAAATTACGAGGATGATTTCGAGGTATGAAAAAGGTAAAACGAATAAAAGTAAAACAACAAACAAACAAACAAACAAACGATGAAAAAAAAATTTTTAAACAAAACGAATATCATAACTTCCGATTTTTTTTTTTTTTTTTTTTTAGGATTACGAATCCGATTTTGAAAATGATGATCCAATCACAAAACCGGATGTTGATGAAAAAAATATTGTATATCCGGATAATTTACAAGAACAACAACAACAATTATTGCCAAAACAAACGGAAACGAATAAAAATGATGATGAGGAAAAACAATGGAAAACAAATTACAGGAAACAAGAAATTGAAGAAATTAAAAAATTAACGGAAAAAGAAAATTTACAAATAACGGAAATGAGGTCTGTCCGTCGGACATTTTTATTTTTCTTCTTCCCCGATAAAATTTATCCCCCGAATAAATTTTTAAAAAATTTTTTTCACAAATTTTTTTTTTTTACAAAAGAAAATCAAAAACTTATTTGAAAATTTCAACCGATCAAGAAGAAGAAGGAGAAGAAGAACGACAACAACAACCGGATGTGTTTGTCGATGATGTTTGTCGTAATGATAAAATAAAAAATAATAACGTTATAGATTTTAATATGGCGTCTGAAAAACAAAAAAAACAACAGGTTGGACCAATAAAAAATTTATTTCATCATGGTTGAAACCTTAAAAAAAAAAACCGTTAATTTTTAATTACAGGAAGTGGCAGCAGCTAAAAAACGTGGACAACAACTTTTAACAATGATAACTTTAGATTTTGTTTCTTACAACATATTCGAAATACCTCCGATACCTTACGAAGATTACATGAAACTTTTCGGAAGGAAAAACACAAAACAGGTTATTCAATTTTTTTTTTTTTTTTTCAAATGTTGGTCATATTTGTTAAAGGTTGGCAACAATGTAATTGGAGATTTTCCTTTAAGGTAACGAAAAAACGGGGATTCATGAAAAAAATTATTTTAATCTATTATCAATAACCTTTTACCATTTTTCGGGTAGTATCCCTAGTGGCTAAAGATGTGTGGGGGGCACCTGGCATTGTCGTGGTGAAAGACGACTCTTCCTTTTCTATGGTCTGCCTCCGGTTGTTTTTTTTCGGATGGTATTACTTAAATTAGTCAATCGTCGAATATAAAGCACTGAATTTATAATTTCGTGGCAACAGCAGCAGCTCAAAGTATACTATGCCTTTGTAATACCACCAAACTGATAACATTCCTTTTTTTGGTACCTGTTCGCCTTGCGTAGACCAGGATCTTTTCCTCAAAACGTTGTCATACACAACCAGGTATTTCCGGTGACCGTTTGCTTCAAAAAAGGGTCATTCGCATTGCGTTTAAGAAGCGTATCGCAAAGACCAAGAAGTCGTCTTGTTAACTCACACTCCCCAAGGTTATGTGTCAACCTTCTTTTGGTATCCAAGGCACCTCAAACGATTTTAAACGCACGTATATGACACATCTAGCTTCTCTGCAATGTCCTTTGTCAAACTATGCCGATCATAATCAATGAGGGCCTTTATTTGGTCATCATAAACCACTCGTCGCCCAGAGCACTTTTCATCTTTCAAAGAAAAATCTCCGGAATTTCGCGAACCTGCCGTTCTTTTAAGGTTTCATCACCCTACACGCCTCACAACTTTTTATGGGCTTGTGAAGCATTACACACCCTTTCGAAAATAAAAATATGGCGGAAATCCTCCCTTTGGCTCCCTCCCTCCATGTTCATAATGCATCAAATGTTCTTGTCCGTGCAAAAACGTAAACCTACTGGAAAACATGTAAAGCACAATCTATCGGTGAAATTTGAAATTACTTAACTGCCAACCTAATTTTTCTTTCGCCAGGTTTACATACAAACAAACGAAGATAATTTAGATGAAGAAATACAAACGGATGAAATACACACGTGTAATAAATGGACGCAAAATCCTCCCGATTATTTAGGAGGAATAAAAGACGGGAATAAAATTAATTTTACGTTAACGAAAGAGGTAAATCACATCCCGATTCATCCCGTAACTCAAATCCCGAAATTCGAGGACAAAAAAATTTTTTTTTTTTTTTGTTTGTTAGGAACGTTTGGGATCCGGTTGTGACGATGCATCAACAATGACGGAAACGATAGCAGACGAAGAAATCAAATTACAAACGGATAATAATAATTTATTAAATTTTTTATCGTGGTCGAGCCAGGTACGAATTTTTTTTTTTTGTTTTATTCTTCTTCCACGTCTTACTTAATTTTCCTTTAATTTTTCTTTTTATTTTTACTTTTTCCTCATTGTCGTTAAGTTATGTTTAGGTTGTTTTAGCTGCTTTAGAAAGGAATCGCGGTAATTGTTTAAATTTCGACGGTGATGACGTCATAACTAAAAAAAATTTACCCTTCGGTGACGGTTACGCGGAATTACCGATTGATAAAATATCAGTTTTACGTGATAAATCAATAACGAACGTGGCATCAGTTAATAAAAGCTGCGAAAAACTTTTATCCGTTCACGTGGTAATTATCATTATATCATTTTTCATACGTACATTTTTACAAAAATCGTAATGGGGCGGACATTTTCTTTTTTTCTAGAACAAAAATAAACATTTTCAAAGGAGTTTTTTGTCCGTTTGGAATTTAAGAGATACGTCACAACCTTATAAAATATTAGTGGCATCGAATAAGGTATCTTGCTGTAGTTTCGGTCCGAACGATGGTGATTTGGTCTTTGCCGGATTGGATGACGGGTAATTGAAAAGCACCACCATTACCACCACTTTTACCATCACCTCCACTACCACCACAACCACCACCACCAACACACCATCTTTGATACATTGAACAAAAAAATTTCAGATCTTTATGTCTGTGGGATCTTCGAGAATCTTCCATGCATCACACGTCATCATCGGAAGACTCCGAATGGGTATTAAGATCTCCGACATACACGACAGCCGGATACTTAGACGAACCCAAATGTTTAAATTCATTGGTTTCCGTTAAAATTTTAAAAAAAGCAGAAGACGTTAATGAATATAACGATTTCACACCCGTTCAGGTGAGCGCCCGTACGTCCTTTTTTAATTTCTAAAAAATTATTATTATTATTATTATTACGGTTTTTTTTTTTTTTAAGGTTTGCACTCTCGACATGAACGGTACGATAATCACATGGTCGATATTATCGATCGATAAATCGATTAAAAACGAACCATCCGAAGATTTAGGTTTGGCACATTGGGGTAAATTAAGACTCGTTCAAAGTTCGAAATTTTCAATTTTTCAAAATTTGAGGTAATTAATTAAGTGACGTCATCAATATAAAAAGAAAGGAAAGTGAGATTAATTTGGGGGGGCGGGATTTTACAGAAACGAATTACCCGGATTGTTTATAACGTGTTTCGACATGTTAATCAACGAAGCAGAAGACGATGGATTTTACATAGCCAACAGTTTCGGTAGCATATATCATTTTTCAACATATGGTACGTTCATGAAACCTAAATATTTTGTACCTACGAAACATGACGTCATCGTTGAAACGACTTGTCTCGAAATATGTCCGTTCAATTCGAATTATTTTCTTGCCGGATGCGGAGATGGAAGCGTGAGGTGATTTAAGAATTTAAAAAAAGCAGGAAAATAAGAAAATTTTATTATTATTATTATTATTGTCCTCCTCCTCCTCCCCCCCTTTCAGGTTGCATTATCGACATCAGGAAAATCCATTGATAACGTTAAATTTTAATGACAACGTGGAAAGTGAAAAAAAATCTCCTGTCGTTTCCCTATCGTGGATGAATAGACGACCCTGCGTTTTTTTCGCATTGGATGCCAAATCCAGGTACTTTTTTTTTTGGGGGAGGTACCGAAGGTTTTATGTCACGACTATTTAATTTTTGTTTTTTGTACCTAAGGATACACGTTTGGAATTTGAGTTCGAGCGATATTTATCCGGAAATGACGTTATTACTCACGGATAAAAAAATTTCATGCATGAAACTTTTAACATCGTCCGATTCTAAACAGCGACCGTTTATAGTAAGTTTTTATAGTAATATTTATTAATTGTTTGTTTGTTTGTTTTCTTATAGCGCTATAAATGTTAATTTTTTTTTTCAGGCGCTCGGAACAGACGATGGAAAAATTGAAATACATAAATTAAACGAAGAATATGGTGGAAAATCATCGGCCGACGTTCGAAACGAAATGAAAATTTTTTTAAAATATGTTTCTATATTATAATTAAATATAATACCTGTATATACCATTTTTTATAGCGCTATAAACCTATATTTAATTTTTAAAAAAAATTTATTTTGTTCTCTTGACCTACTACTACTTACTACCTACTATCTAACTACTACTCTCCTAAAAAAAAAAAAAGGTAAAACAAGGGAGAGGGATGAAAGAGAGAAACGGTGAGAAAAAAGAAAAGGTACGGAGAGACTGGAAAAAAAAAGAATGACGGTCAGAAACGAAGAGAAAAACGAAGATAAAGTGAGAAAGGAAAAGAGTAATAGAGTAAGGATGAGAGAAGCAAAAACAAAGAGAGAAAGAGAGAGAAATAGACAGAAAGAACTAGAGAGAGAGAGAGAAAAAGAAAAAGATCAGAGAAAGAAGGGAAGAGACCGAGAGTAAGAATGAAAGAAAGAAAATAATGAAAGATGAGGGTACTAGAGTGAAAAAGAGACAGACACATTAAGACCATAATAGTTTGAGAAGTAGACAGTCACATAAAAAGCATAATAGTGTGAAAGAGGGAGAGACTAAAAGAGAAAGAGAAATAGACAGGAAGAAGTAAAGAGAGAGAAAAAGAAAAAGAACAGAGTGAGAAAGAGAGAAGGAATGAGGAAGAGCAAGAGTAAGAATGAAAGAAAGAAAGAGACAAACGGAGAGTAAAAAGAAACAGGAAAAGCGAGAAACAAGAGAAAGAGAGGAAAAGAGAGAAAAAGAGAGTATTAGAGTAAGAGAAAGAGGAAAAACATTAAATAAAAAAGTAATTTTATTAAAAAGAAAAAAAAACTTTTAAATAAATAAAACGTCGCCATTATTCTTATTAAAACATAACTTGAAAAACAAACAAACAAACAAACAAAACGTGACAATGTTTCATCATCATCATCATCATCATCATCAACATCACGTTGAAAAAAAAAATGAAAATTAAACGGAATTGAATGTTTCTTCTCTCGGTGAAAAAGTACAAGGATTAAATCTTTTTTTATCACCCGGAAAACATTTTTCGCAATGTTGCGACAATTCATTCGTCGTATGATATCCGTCGCAACGTTTACACTTGTTCGAATGCGTAAAACTTTTCCCATCGCAACAATTTTCATCATCATCCAAAAATGATTTGTCGAAATTTTGCAAACAATTAATATTTTTCTTACGTTTGTAATCTCCGCTGTTGTTTTTATTATTATTATTATTATTATTATTACATTGATTAATATTATTACCTTGATTATTATTATTATTTTGATTATTATTATTATTTTGATTATTATTACCTTGATTATTATTATTATTATTATTATTATTATTATTATTATTATTATTACTAGTCCTACTCTTACTTTTATTATTATTATTATTATTATTATTATTATTACAACTTAATTTTTTCACAACGTTTTTACCCTTTGATTTTTTAACTTGTTTCATATGATGATTTTTATTCCTGTCGAAAACTTTAACTAATTTTTTCTTATTTGATTTTTTCGGTCTCATCGACAGGGAACAACAATTTTCCGGCTTTATTTTCGAAAGGAAATTCAACATGTTAAAACAACAGCATTTCGAACCGTGACACGTTCTCGTTATGCATTTCGATATCATTATCTTCGGGTTAGCGCCCAACAGCAAATATTTACCATTGTAACGAGCGCATATGATTCCGCTTTTAACGCACGACAGCAATGCCGTCATAACCTAAACGTCATCACCGTAAAAACAAACGTGAGTACTACTAAGACGATGACGTCAACATGACAAACGATTATATCGAATCCATCATTTTATACCTGACTTTCGATATCACCGTCGAGATATTGAAAATTTTCAATTAAATACTCGACGATTTCTTCGCTCGTGACTCCGACAGCTTTTCTTCTTTCTTTCGGACTTTGTCTTTCCTGTAGTCTCGCCAATGCGTAAACGACTTTTTCTTGTACCTTCGGCGTATCGTCCAAACAACTAATGGTAAACGTCTTTTATTATTATTATTATTATCTAATCGTTTTTTAATTTAATTGACTCACGTGAATGGAGGGATCGACGACAACTGTTGTGAATCTGATTCTGATGACGTCATTTTCATTTAATTTTTCTTTTTTATACCATCGATGATGATGATGATGATGATGATGATAAATTTCGAGTTTTAATTAATTTTATCATCGAATTAAAATTTTTTTTTTTTTTGCTTTTTTCCGATTACAAACTTTAAAATTTTTTTTTATAGTAAAAAAAAAAAAAAAGAAACAAATTGAATATTTATAAATAATAGCAGACGATAATGACGTCACAAAGTCACGTGAAAAATTTAAAATAAAAATAAAAATTAATGTTTATGATGAAGATGATGACGACGGTTTCAACAATTTCGCGTTTCGTTTCCGTTTTTCCGTACAAAAAAAACGATTGAATGATTGATTGATAGATTGAATGAATGAATGATTGACTGATTGATAGATAGATTGAATGAATGAATGAATGATTGATTGATTATTATAATTTTTATTTATAAAATTTTGTTTCAAGTAATTTTAAAACCACAAACAAAAATAAAACTTGTTTAAATTCTAAAAAAAAATTTTTTCACGTTCACAGTTTCTGTATGTTTGTCTGTTTGTTTGTTTGTTGTTTGTTTTAAGAAATATTTTCCACAGCCTTTTTTTAAAATTATTTTTTCAATCCTTTAACCAAATTTTAAAATTATTATCAACAACAACAACAAGAAAATAAACAAAATTAAATTTAACAAATATTTACGTTTTTTTTTTTTTTTTTGAAAGTTATTTAAAAATTTTTTAAAACGATCATTGATAATAATAATACTAGTAATAATAATAATACTAACGTCACATGTAAACAAAATCAAAGACTTAAAAAAATTTAACCGGTTAAAATAAATGAAAAAAAAACATTTTTATCATTAAAAAATAAATTTAAAAACCGCCATTTTTATTATTTTTGTTTTTGTTATTATTATTATAATCACCCCCGTCATCATTTAAAACATCGTTTTATTATCATTATTATCATTTAGTTTTGTTTTTTTTTTTTTTCGCGGTAAAGAAGAAAAATAAAAATATTGCAAAAATTTTCCTTATAAAATTATTAATCGATAAAATGGCTCCGAAAAAAGCCAAACGTCAGGTAAAGAAAACAAATCAAAAAATTAAAAGTAATAATAATAATAATAATAATAATAATAGTAATATTAGGAAAATGAAATCGAGTTGTTTTAGCATAATAAAACAACCGCAATTACAATCAAAACAAAAACAAACGACGACGAACAAGTCGTCAATGAAAAAATTACAATGGATAAACGATTCACCTCCGAAAACAATTTGCGATACGAATAAGATAACAAATTGGTTGGAACGTAGGCCCTACGTTAAAGAAAGAGGATTGTTAAGGTTAAGAAGTCGATCGAATAATATATCGACAAGGAGACATTCGTTAGTACCCGTAAGTACAAACAAACAAACGAAAGAACAAACGAACGATCGACGAATGAAAAAAATCATTTTTTTCCAGAACGTCGACGATGATAAAACAACAACGATAACCGGAATCTCTGGAAAATGTCGATGCAACAACACGACCGGTAAATACGTTAAAAAAAAAAAAAACGAATTTAATTATAATAATAATAATAATAAAAACAGCATCAATTTGGGGAAGAATATACCGAATAGCGTTGTTGCTAAATACGTTAAAAAAAGTATGAATCACGTTGCATCGTTTATCGTTGAATCCGCAATTAGGTTCGGTGAAGAACATGGAGTCGTTAAACCTGATAAAACATTACCAAACGTTTACGAAATAACACCGCCGAAAAGACACGCGTCGGAAAGGAATAATAATAATAATAAAAGGTTAAAAATTAAAAAACCAGATAAGATGTTAGGTTACGAAGATGCTAAAAAAGTCATGTGGAGAAGCGATAACAACAATTTAAACAGGAATTCCGCCATTTTGATGGACGACATGTACAAACCTCGATCGAAAGCGGGGGGCACTAATAAAACGTCATCGTGGTCTAGTCAAACGGATTCCCTCGAAGACATACTACCCATTTTGGAAGAATTGAAAAAAGATGAACACGTGGTTACGAGCGATTTAAATTTGACTAAATTATCGAAAAATAATCCCGCTTTATTATTATTATCATCATCATCATCATCATCGAATACGAAATTGAGGAAAAAAGAAAAAAATTTAATAAGGTATAGGAGAATATTGGAAAAGATAAAAGGAACCGAATCTGATAATAAATTACTACAGCCTCAGCAACAACAGCAACAACCACAACGACGACAACAACGACAACGACGACAACGACAACAACAACAATCCCCAGATCATCACGTTAAGAAAAGATTTAAAAAGGATTCAATTGAAATCGATAGGCAAAGGTTAAAAGGTTCGACAATATCTAGAAAACAGGATGTTAATATCATTATTTAAATATTTTTCCGTTTGTTGTTTGTCGTTTGTATTAGTAATAGTAATAATAATAGTATCATCAGCGAATTGTTTGTTATATAAAATAAAAAAAAACTTTTGTGGCAAATATAAAAATATACAGACAAATTATTATTATTATTATTATTAAAATTTGTGTTAGTCCGTGCCTGAAACAAAAAAAACGTGGTGGTGGAGGCGACGGTGGCGCAGCGGTGTGGGTTTAACGGTAAATAATAATACATAACAATATGTTATTATTATTATTATTATTACGGAACGTCATAAGCCGTGAGAAAGTCCAACTGACTAATAAGTGGATTTTTTTAACCCCTGATAAATTTTACCCCTTTCTCCCAAAAAAGAAATTTTTTTTTTTAAAGTTTATAGACTTCAATTACGAAAAGTTTTTTTTTCTTTCCCTTCATCTTTATTATAGTGCTATAAATTGCTATAAAAAATTATAAAAGCTATAAAATCATGCTTTTGAGTTACGTGGAAAAAAAAATAATAATAATAAAACCCCAGTAAAAATACGTTTTATATATCCCGATTCATATCATTTAAAGCGCTATAAATGCTATATTTATAACTTTATTTTATAGTTTTGATTCTTATGCTATAAGTCGATAATCTATAACTATAAAAAAATTTTTTTTGTCATTTTTTCCCCCTAAAAAAATTCATAAGTCGGGATATAAATGAATTCGAATTTTTCTTTCGGGCTATAAATTTCTGCTATATTTTTAAAGTCTACGCGCTATAATTTTAAAATTTTGAATTTTTATGATTATTAAATCGATTTATAATTTTATTTATTATCATTATCTAAAAAGTTTTGTTTTTTTGCCTTAAATATTAATTATTTTAAATAATTTTGTTTGTTAAATTTTACCTTGATTTGTTTTTTTTGTTCAAAATTATAGTTTTTGCGGGGGTTTTCTTTTTAAAAAAACTTTTTTTCGGGGGGTTTCACCTTTTCCCAAAGAGAGAGAGAGAGAGAAAGAGAGAGGGGAGAGGGTGGTTTGAAAAAAAAATTGTGGGAAAAATGAGGGTAAATACCAGAAGAAAAAATAATAATAATAGTCAAAATTTTCAATAGTGATGATAAACATGCAACGATTTTTTTTTAAAAATAATATTTTAATTGTTTATTAATTTATTTTATTACGTCATAATTATTTATTATTATTATCATCATCGTTTTTTCTACAAAATGTATTGATAACGTTTCGAAAAGGATTCGATAACGACGCGTTAATAATTCCAGAAAAAAAAATTTTCATTTATAAAAGTATAAACGGTCGGTCCCCCCCCGTTAAGGTTCCCTTTTAAGATTTTTCTTAAGGTTTAATTTCGAGATCCCCCTCGTGGCTTTTCTTAAGGCTACCCCCTCCCCAAAAAAAATTTAAAATTTAAAATTTGAGGGTAGGAAAATAATTAAACGAATTTTTTTTTCCAAATCGAAATTTTCCCAATAAGTTTCACATTCGTTTCTCATTAAGGCAAATCGATAATATAATTATGACGATAATAATAATAAAAGGCAATAAAAAAAATGATTTACTATCGGAGGGGGGGGAGGTTAGTAAATTACACGGGGAGCTCTTATCTATTACCAAAAAAAAAACAAAAAAAAAAAAAAGTAAACATATTATGTGCAAACAATAAAAAATCGAGGATAAAAAAAAAAAAAGTGGTAACGCTAAGGTTTTTTTTAAAATTAGGGTAAGAATCACGTGACACGACACAAAAAAAAATTGTTTTCGGAAAGGTGAGAGATGAAGATAGTAAAAGTGTGTGTGATAGAGAGAGAGAGAGAGAAAGGTTATATATATATATATATATAAGTAATAATTAGCCACTTGCACGGGGGTCAAATATTCTCACACTTTTTGAACATGATCAAACAACATTTGTAATCACTTCCTCCTCTTCCCCTTCCTCCTCCTCCTCAAAAAATCAATATTAAAAAAAAAAAATAATCATTTATTGATATTTGAATTATCTATTAGAAAATTAACCTGAAATGAGTAGGGGATGAGGTGAAGGGGGCCTCAAAAAAAAAATTTTCTTTTTTATAACCGATTTTTTTTTTTTTATCTTTTTTTATTTGATTACGACGTATTGATCACGTTCTCGACTTTCTTTTTATTATAATTATTGAAAAGATTTAAAAATTAACGAAATTTAGCAAAAAAGTAGCAGAAAAAAAACAAAATGGCCGCCGAAATAATCGTTGATGTAGGATCATCAAGTGCGTTGAAACGTTTAAATTAATTTTTTTTCGTTCAAATTTTCTAAAACTTTCTAAAGAAAATTCTACAAACCCATATTTCCTTTTTAATCAGTTGAAAAAAAAACCGGAAGTACTAATTTAAAATAATGTTCATTTCCGGTTTACGTAAATTAAAAAAAACGACAGATAAACATTTTAAAGAAAAAGCCAGTTTTTCTGTTTTTTTTATTTTTCCGGGTGATTTAATGAAGAGAAAATTTTAGGCCAATAAGAAGTGCGCAGGTGTAATAAGGCGGGGCTTATTTTATTTTAATAAAATCTCATTGGTTAATATTTTCAATTTGAAAATTAATAATAAAAAATTTTTAATTTTTTTTTATTTTCGGTTGAAAAATAAAAAAGGATTTAATGGGGATCGTTTGATTTTTAAAACGTGAGGAGAAAGGATATGAGAAAGAAAGAGAGAGAGAAAGAGAGAGTGACGATGGGGAGTCCGAACGACGGAGGTTTTCTTCAATCTTTGGAAAATCCAATAACATCATCAACAACATTTTCTTCGACATTAAATCTTTTAAGGAATTATAATAATCATATATTAACCCCATCCGGTAAGATAATAATAATAAATTAATTTTTGCTATGATTCACTATAAATTTCACACGCACGTACGCACGCCATTTTCCTTTAGATTTCACTCTCTATAAATTTTATAGAGCGTTAATATACAAAAAAAAAAAAAAAAAAAACGATACCTTTCGATGATGGGAGAATATTTCAGGTTCGAATTTAGTACAAGTTTATCATCATTATTCGTGTAGATCGTCATCGTCGCCGTCATCGCCGTCATCGCCATCGCCATCTTTCGGGAGTATCGCACCGGAAATAATACCACAAACGAATAATTTTACATTTTCACCGATTTCGATCGGTCATTTTAATCCTTATAATTACTACCCGATACCTGCCGTATCACCGCCATCTTTAAACGATTACAAAACGAGTAAGTTTGAGAAAACGTATGCTTGTTTGTTTGTTTGTTTTGTCGTCGTATTCGATTGTTATTTTTAAATTTTTTTCACTGCAGGACAACAACAATCTTTTTTAAATCCTTCGTCTATTTACGGTAGAAGGCCGAGAGGTGAAAAAAAACCGATACCCGATGATCAAAAAGATGACAGGTATTACGAAAGGAGAAAAAGAAATAATCAAGCGGCTAAAAAATCAAGAGATGCAAGAAAATTTAGAGAAGATCAGGTTTGTTATCGTTTTATTTGATGAGAGAGAGAGAGAAAGGAAAAGGGGATGATAATAATAATATCCGTTTCCGGTTTTAGATAGCATTAAGGGCGACATTATTAGAACACGAAAATGCCGTTTTACGTGCACAAATACTCACGCTGAGAGAAGAAACGCGAAATTTACGTGAAAAAATTATTTATAATAAATGTGTTGTTAGTGATGATAATGATGATAGTTTGGACGCCATTAAAAATTGGAAAAAATAATTTCAATTAAATTTTTTCACAATTAATGCTATAAAATTATTTATAAACTCGCTATATATATAAAAAAATTTTCTATAATTTTATAGCGTTCGATTGATAAGAAAAAAAAAAAAAAACTTACCGTTACGTTAATGACGTCACAAAAAAACACAAAAATTAAAAACTAAAAACAAAAAATTGAAATTTTCACTTAAACGTTTTCATCGAGGAGGACATTTTAGAGAACTGAACACGTGATTGTTGTCGTCTGCTCTTCAACATTTAAAAACATCGTCTGCTAAATACCTGACGATTTGATGACGTCATCATCACACCACATTTTTCTTCTTTTGTGTAAAATTTTTTCATTTCCATACGTTTGTGAGTGTGTGTGTGTGCGTTTAAAATTTTCTAATAAATAAATAAAATAATAATGATAATGATAATAATGACGAAAGGTTTTTATTAAAAAAAAAAAGGTTGAAAGGTTAAAAAAGGTTTGCATGATTTCGTGCAGCTTAAAATTATAATTAATTTTCTTTTAATAAAATAAAACGACGGAAAAAAAAAAAAATTTTTTTAAATTATTTTTAATGTCTCTTCTTAAATTAATTTTACTTTTTGTTTTGATTGCACGGAGGGAAGGGAAGGGGAAGAGGAGGGAGTGTGCTCGCGAGGCGGGAGAAGCGAAGGGGGTACGAGGGGGGGAAGGAATCGGAGACAAAAGAGAAGGAGAAGGAGAAAGTGAATAGTGGATATTTCTCGGAAATGAATGAGTGAAAGGAGGAGGAAAGGGGTTTGAGGAGAATGAGTGGGAGTGAGACGATAAAGAATAGGGGGGAAGAAAGAGAGGAGAAGAGAAGGAAAGAAAGAGGGGGAGGGGTGAACGAAAATAAATTAATTAAAAATAATAATAATAATTATCCGTACCTTTTTTTTCTTTTTTTAATAAGAGAAATTTTGGAAAAAGAATTTGTGGAAGGGGAAGAAAAAAGAGAAGACGAGGAGGGGAAAGGAGAGTGGGGGGAGAGGAGGGGGAACGATCATGAATCGATTCAAAAATGATATTAATAATAATAATAATTTTTCGTATCTTTTTTTTTTTTTTTTTAATTTAATTTATGATAATCGCTATAAACTATAAATTTTATAAACAATATATCACTGATGCCATAATAATAATAATGATAATAATAATAATGATAATGATAATAATAATTATAATAATAATAGTTTATCGAAGTGTGTTTGTGATATGCATAAAAAAACGGAATTTAAAAAAACGAAAAGTAATTAACTAGAACTAAAAATTCATGTAATGTATATAATTTTTTTAAATGTGATGACGTAATAAATAATAATAGGAAATGACGTAATTAAAAAAAAATATTTTTTTTATCGTTCGTATTTGATTTAAAAAATATAGTAAATATATATATATATATATATATATATATATATATATATATATATATATATATATATATATATATATGAGTGTCTATATATTTCATTTATTTTTTTTTACTACAATTATTTGCTATAATTAAATTTGGTAAAAGTTTTATAGTTTAAAATTATAGCGCTTTTTTCGGGGAGGGGAGGAAAGAAGGGAGGGGGATTAAATAGAAAAAAAAAATTTTTTTATTTTTTTTTAAATTCATTCAATTTTCAATTTTTCGTGGTCCTCCTCATCATTTAAATATTATTATTATTTTTATAGCGCTATATAATAATACTTCATTTCGTCGTCGTCATCATCATCATCATTATCATCATCATCATCATAATCATCATCATCATCATAATCATTTTTTTTTTAAATAAAATTAAATAAATAAAACATTTAATCGTATCAAAAGGCACCGTACAAAATTGACCAATTAACAATTTTAATTCATTCCCTTATTTCCGGTTCCGGTTTCACTTCCGGTTCCGGTTTTTTTTCTTCTCCTTCATCTCCTTCATCAAATCCGATCCATAAATAAATTATTTTTGGTCGAAAATGAAAAACTTTTGTTTGTACATAAGACAATGAAAAAAAAAATTACGTTTGCTAGATTTTCCGATCGTAATCCATTTCCGGTTTGTCATAATTTTTTTCATCTACGATTTTTTGCCACTGTTTCATATTTTCCGCAGCTCCTTCCGTCATAACGTTTAATTTTGGATTCATTTGACCCAAAGACTATTTAAAAAAAAAAAAAAAAAATTTTTTTTACTTACTTTTCTTCTTCCACGTCGTTTTTTTTTTTTTTTTTCAAATGTTTTACCTCGTAAAGTGGTAAACATATATCCGCGATCCATCGTATTTGCAACTGTGGTAATTCGTGTTGTTTTTCCCTATCCATGAGTGGTTGAGGAGTTATGTGTAATTCTTTTCTTTCTTTATCTCCTTGTACGAGAAATTCGGCCGTCACCAAATTAGCGACCCTCTGTTGAACGTTCCAAGACTTACAGGAAGCTGCTAAATCGCTTGCCGTCATCAACATCGAACGTAAAAGTTCCCGATGTTCTTCCAGTCCCCAACTATACGATTTCGTTTCGACTAATTTAAAAAATTTTGGCCTGAGCCTGGAATTGTAAAGAAAAAAAAAAGAAAAATGAATTTCCGCCCTCCCCCCTCCCCGTGAGAGCTTTCATAATAATAATAACAACTGACTCGAAATAAACTGATAAATCCGTTGCTAGTATGCTGTGTTTAAGAACTTTCATAACTTTGGAATAATTTTCTGGAGAAAGTCCAGAAAATATGTTGTGACTTTCCGAACTTAATATCATGACGGCATGATTGAAATGATGATGTTCCATCGTGTTTGTCGTGCCGTAAAGAAGAGCCAAAGCCGATCCGGTTCTTTTGGAAAAATAAAAAAAACGATAATGATAATTTTTTTTTGTGGGGGGGGGGAAAGGGGGAAAAAAATTAAAACAAACTTTTGTTGAAACGAATTGTTCGTTCCGCGATGATCCAAATCGTGACATAAACAACCGACAAACATTCCGAGAACTTCCAAATCGCTAAACGTTCCTTTCATTTCGCATCCCTGGAAAACCAAACAAACAAAAAAAAAAAAATTTTTTCGGGGGGATTTCGAAGGTGGGGAAGATGGGGCGGGAGGTGAATGAAAATCAAACTCACCATCAATATGGCAAACATAACTTGTGACACGTTAAATGCGTGTCTCCAATTGTGATAAGGTACGTCTCTGTAATTTTTTTTAACAGTTATCAAAAACCTGTACAGGGTCGTCTTTTCAATAATGAACCTTTTGACGAGTCCCAATTGTAGAAACATGGATGCCGCACCGAGAACCATTTCGTCGTCGTCCAATGAAAAATCGTCGAAATTTAACGAATATAAATTCAATTCGTCTGCACACGCCACGGGTTTTTCCTACAAATGATAATAATAATAAAGAGTATTAAGTCTCCCTGGGGGAGTCGGGACAGAGGAATAAAAAAAAAAATGGCGGCTACCATGAGAGCATCCAATTCTTTATTGCTCGCCGTCGCGTGATACGACAAAACTTCTATTGCGACTTTTTGTCGCGCCATCGCTTTTTCCACTTCGCTATACATAATCGTGTTGTGTATTCCGAGACCGCAAAAAATGGTGAAAGCTTCGAATAATTGAACGTCGTTTTCATCGAAAGGATTTCCGCTCAATTTGTTTACAATCGTGGCAACACCTGAGATCAAAAAAAAAAATTTTTATAGCTTCTGCTATATAGCGTCTGGATGATCTGTATTATCGTCGACATATTACCGATTATTTGATATTTAGAATTTCTTATAGGCATCGCCAATATGCTTTTTATATCTCCTCCGCTTCCTTTTTCCACTTCCAAACATTCGGCAACGTTTAAAACTTCACCGGAAGTTGCAACTTTTTCCGCGAGCGCCAACATGTATCTCGATGCATTTTCAAAATTTTCTTTCGATTGCGTCGTCGTCGGGTTCGAATGACCGTTTATCGGACTCGTTAATTCGAATAATTTTGAAAATTTAACCGTTTCCGAATTGTCGTCCAAAAGTAAAACGGATGCTTTTTGACATTCCAAAAGGACTTGAGTCCTTTGCATTATTTTCAATATGACTTTTTCCAATGACGTTTGCTCTTCGAATAAATCGTGTACTACTTCCAAAAGGTTCTGGAATCATTCGAAAATAAATTTTTAATTGCCTGAAATTTTCTCCCTTCCTCCCCTCCCTGCTTCCTTCTTACTCTGTTCCTATCGTATTCCTGTCTTGATGTTTCCATAATTTGAGCGTTTGTTATCGCTATACCAACAAATTGAAGATAAGTTTCAAATATTTTTTCGTCTTTTTTCGTAAAATAACCGCAATCCACTTCCGGATTTTTATTTATCACTTGTGCCACGGCTATTATTTCGTCATATGCATTTTTAACAGGCATGCAAAGTAACGTTTCCGTGTGATATCCGGTTATCCTGTCAACTTCATCGTCGAACCTGGAATCCTGATCAACATAATTAATGTTGAGTGATAAAAATACCTTCGACCTTTAACCTTTAACCTCTTTTTTAATAATAACTCATTTAAACAACTGAATCATTACAACGCAGGAACGTATTAAGGATTTGTCTTATTAATAATTCACTTACCTCGCAAGCCACTTGTAAATTAACAGTTTCTCCGGTATCGGCCACGTGACCTAAAACTCCGACTCCCCAGGGTACTTGTACTTCGTTGTCGTTTCCGGTATTTTTACCACCCGGAAGTAAAAACGTACTAGCACCGCTGTGTACGTCGAAAACTTTCGAAACTAATTTTTGCCTTCCTCCCTTGTGTCCTTCAACGAGAAACAAAGACGCACCGTCTGTGTCTAATAAAACCGCCAAATTATCCACAGTCTGAAAAATTTTTTTTTTCCACATGATCAACCCTATGTTCTTACCCATCCTTATCATCATCATTATTATGACAATAATATTTACCTTATGGGAAAGAGATTTTAAATCCAATTCCGTCGCAATATCTCTGACAATGCTTAAAAAAAATTCTTTTTCACCCTGTGTCGCCAAAAGATCTCTTTTTGTCGCTCTGTTGTGAAGTGGATAATATTGCGGAAGTCGAACTTTTGATTCAATCAGTAGCGACAACATGTTAACCGAATTCGGAGGTAGTGACGTATACCTTAATTATTGTTAATTAAAGGTTAAAAAGGTTCATTTACAAAAAAAAAAAAACATTATTATCTTCATTATTATTATTATTATTAAAAAGGAAAAAAAAATCTCGTCCTGGTAATTTTTTTTGTTAATGCTCTGGGAGAAATGCATTTCGCACTAACCTCCTCACCCACCCGGTAGCAGGGAGAGTATAATTAAAGGGTCGAAACGACTACGCAAAACTCGTGAACATGTTTCCGGTACTCTGCATTTCAGCCTCAACCCCTCCTGCACCCAGAACCATCAAGTCTCCATCCGAGAAAGATCCCGGTACTTCCGGTATACCTCCTAGGTATAGTTAAAAGTTTACCCCTAGCGGACGTCTTATCAACGTAGAAAATTCAACCCCAGAACCCCTCCCCCTAAAACATCCTCTATATTTAACCACCGAGTAGTTGAATCACGTGTCTACATCACATCAACATCATCCCATCTGTTATTTTCTTCTGCTTTTTTTTTTGGAAATCAAAATTTTCTGCTGTTTGTTTTTCCAGCGTTAAAAAAAAATTATTTACAATAATTATGGAAAATTCCAAGAGAAGAAGAAAGAGAAAAAAGAAGAAGAGAAAAAAAAATAAAAAAATTAAAAATCGCGAATCACATTAAAAATAAAAAAAAGTCTGGAACGAAACCGCCTGGAGAAAATTATAATTAATAAAAAAAAATTTAATTTAAATATAAATATTATTATTATTATTGTTATGTAACCGGAGAAAAATGATTTTTTTCCTTTGATTTTCTTTCCTTTTACTTTCACTTTTAACCTTTTCACCACCACATTTTCCATCTCGTTTCCTTTTTTTTTTCTTTTGTCCTCTAAACGACCGTTTTATCCAATTAAATTATCAAGTTAGAAAAAAAAAATTTTTTTTTTTTTTCCAGAACTTTACGTGGAAGAAGAATATCCTGACGACTTAACTTCCCTTTTTTTTTTTTTTTTATGGTTTTATAAGATTTTCACGACCAATAAAAAGTAAAAGTTTTACCCGAAATGATAAACTTAAAAGCTGGTAAAAATAATAATAATAATAAAATTTATCCTAATTCCACGTGCATTTCACTATCGACTTCGGCAGTAAAACTTAAATTTATTGAATTGAATTTTTTTTTCCCTCCCGCCCCCCTTCCTCCTCTCCCTTTTTTTCTATTTCCACATCGTTTGTCCCTTTATCCTTTTTATCAACGCGGGTATTTTACGACGGCCTTTCTTTTTTATTATTATTATTATTATTCAACTGGAATTTTTATATTTAATGCAACGCGTTTAATTACGCGTTCAACCTTTCCAACGTTCAACCTTTTCATCCTTTTTTATCCAGCAAAAAAAAAAACTTTAATCTATAATTTTTTTTTTTTTTCAAAGGTGGCAAAAGTAATAACAAAAACACGAGGATTATTAAAAAAAACGGGGGAGGGGAGCGGGGGTAAGCTTTAATGGATTTTACATTAGGATAACCTTTTTCGATCCTTTTTTTTTCCAATAAACTCGCGTTTCTACTCCTCCTGCTCGTTTCAAAATTTTTTCAATTTTTTCTATAAATTGAAAAGTTTTTTCCTTTTTTTTCCTTTTTTTTTTTTTGTAAAAGGTTATAAAAAAAAAAAAAACCAAAAATTAATAAATATATGCGTACATGGTTGGGATGTTAAAAAGAGAAAAAAAATATAGAAAAAGGTTTGAACATTCAATAAATAACCTTTTTTTCGAGTCGTTTATCATTTTTTTTTTTTTGTTGTGTAAGAATCGTCGAAAAGGTTGAATTTTAAATTGATTGAATAAAATAAAATCCCGAAAGAAAGAAAGAAAATTTTCAATTTTTTTTTTGTTCCGTCTCGGCATAATTTCCGGTTTTATTTTCCTTTTCAGTTGGTCATTGACCTCAATTATCAATTCAAATGTTTTCCTACTAATGTATATATATCCTTAACTGTGAAAATCATTCACCTTAATTGTTATCATTCATTTATTTTTTGCTATCATTTGTCATTTTCCCTCCCCCCCTCTCTCTCTCTTTCTTTTTTTTCTTTCTTTCGTTCAATCATTTCTTCTTTTTGTTCCCCTTTTTCTTATTCTTCTCTTTCTTCCGTTCAATCATTTCTTTTCTCTCTTCGTCTATCTTCTTCTCTTTTTTAAAATCTCTCTCTCTCGTTTTCTCTTCCACTTCTTTCTTCCACTTTCTCTCTTCCTCTTTTTCCCTTTAGTTCTCTTTTTTTCTTACCCTTTCTCTCTTCCTCTTCCTCTCTTTTCCTTTCATTCTCTTTTTTTCTCTCTTTCTATGTCCAATCACTCCTTCTCTCTCTGTTTTTCTATTTCTCTCTACCCCTTTTTTTCCTGTTTTTCTTTCTTTCTTTCTTTCTTTCTTTCTTTCTTTCTTTCTCTCTCTCTCTCTCTTCCTCTTTTTCCCTCTTTCTCCCTTCCTTTCCTTTTTTTAATTCTCTCTTTCTCTTTCTTTTAATTTTCTCTCTTTTTCCATTCTCATCTTTCTCAATTTTCTTTTTTTTTTCTTTGTACACATTTCTACATCTTTCTCTCCGTCTCTCCATTTCGTTCCTTATCTCCCCATCTCCATTCTCATTCATTCCCTCTTTCATTTTCAATTTTCCTCTTTCTAATTTTTCCTTTTTTTAATTTTCCTCATTTTTTTTTCTTTTTCTCTCATTTATTTACGTCATTGTCTTTTTTTCCCTTTTGTCACGAAATCTTTCCGACCTTTTCTCTATAAATATACAATTCACGTGGAAAAGTGAAAAAAATAAAATAAATAAACAAAGAGAAAGAGAGAGAAAATTTTTTTTTCTTTTTAATGATAACAAAAACAACTCCTTATCATCATTCATTATTTTAATTTTCTCCAGTTATATTTACATCATATTCACGAATACGATTCCAAACGGGGGGTAAATAAACTTTTTCTTAATAATAATAATAATAAATAATTAATATTACACTCCCCACCCCACCCCCCTAAAAAAAAATTTTTTTAATAGTTTTTTTATAGTATTATAGCGAACCAGACAAACGCTATATAAATACTTAAAATCTATTTTAAAAAAAACCAAAACAATTAAATTTATTATTTAAAAAAAAAAAAAAATATAAGGAAAATGTTTATTATAATTTTATAGCGCTATATTATAGATCTTTCTTATTCTTCTTACACGATGAATAAATATTCAAAGGCTATAATTAAATTTTTTATAGATATAAAAAAAATAAATTAAATTTTTTTTTTATTGCGTATTATTATAGAGCATTATAGGATATTATAGCGCTATAAAAAAACGTCAAAAGGAAAAAACAAAAAGGATTATTTGAATGTAAAAAACATGAGGAGGATAGGGGGGAGAGAAAATGAAAAAGGAAGGAAGGTGGGGGATGTGAAGAGAAAGTCAAAAAAAATTTACTGGGTGTCAAAAATTTTTTTTTTTTTTTTAAAAACTTTATCCACGAAATTTTTTTTTTGTTTTTGTTATGTTGGCAATAATTCTCCCATTTCTGTCTCTCTCTCTCTTTTTCTCTATCTCTTTTTCACTTATCCATTTAATCCTTTTGTTTTGTTTTTGTTTTTGTTTCGCCGCCAATTTTATTTTATTTTTTTTTGTGTAGAGGAAAAATTTGAAAAATTTTTAACATTAACAACAACAACAACAACAACTACGAAAATTAAATTAAACGTATCGTGACAACAGACCAACCGTGACTAATAACCAATTAACAAATTTATTAAAAACATATTTTCCAGGGGAGAAAATTAACCCCCCCCCCCAAAAATAAAAAAAACTTTCAAACTCCAGAAAAAAAAAGAAAAACATGAGAAATTTTCCAAAAGTTTTTTTTTCTCTTTCTCCTCATTTCAAACCCATTATTATTATTATTACTATTTATAACGATAATGATAAAATTAATTTAAACGATGATAATAATAATAATAATAAAGAAAAGAATCCAAAAGGGGGAAATTTTTTTGCGAATTTTTCAAAAAAACCTTTCTCGAATTTTGCAAAAAAAAAAAAAACCTTTCGGAAAAATTAAATTTTCAAAACGTATTTAAAAAAAAAAGGGGGGAAAGGTTTGAAAAAGGTTTTTGTTATTAAAATACGGTTCATCACAAACAATTATTCAAAATGGAAGGATATACGCGAGGGAGTAGGAGGGCAGGAGAAGAGCAGGGGAAAAGAAAAAAAACAAAGTAAAACTTACTTTCTCATATCCTTGAGCGAATTTCTCCTTGACGTGGAACTAGATATTTCGTGACCCAAGGGTTCGTGAGTTCTAAACATGCTTTTACTTTTGGCTCTTGCAAAATCGTGTCGGAGACATCTTTTCGAACTGTTTCTACGATGTGACGACCCGTTCGTTTGTGATGATTTTCCAAAGGAAACTCCTGAAATGGAATTCGAAGAATTGGTATCGTCTGATGAAAAGAACGGACCCACATTCGGAGAAGTATTTCCAGAAGAACCTATTGAAATTAATTTCTTGTAAATGTACACTATATTCATCATCATCATCATCATCATCATCATCATTATCATTCTCTCACCTGAATTTCTTCTGCTGCTCGATACGTAATCATTTATGGTTAAAAATCCGTGAGATACGAGCCAAGCGTTTATAGCAGCAAGTTCGGCTTTTCTAAGAAAATAATCTAAACATAAATCCGGATGCGAATCGAGCCATTCTTCAACTTCCGCCGTAGAAAGTTGTGTCATATCTATTTGATTGATTGATTGATTGATTGATTGATCAGATTCCGTATTGATATTTTAAAAAAAAAAAAAAGTATATCATCGCGAATACAATAATTTTCTCATCGTCATCCTTTCATCATCCTCATCATCATCATCATCATTTTTTCCTCATCGTTTTTCTTTTATTTTTTTTTTTCTCCTTTTTTCAACCAACCTTGAAAACTGAAAAAAGGTAAAAAAAAAATTTTATTACGTCATCATCTTCGTTTTCCTTTTTTAATAAAAAAAAAAATTAAGATGGCCGAACAAAAGAAATTAAAAGTGAAAAATGGCGGACGAAAACCCCCCCCAAAAAAAAAGTAATTAATTAAAATGTAATTTCATTATTATTATTATTTTTTTTTTTTTATTAAAATTATTTTATAAGGTAATTATTATTATTATCATCATAATCATCATCGCTTCGAGTTATTTTTTTTTTTTCGCGCGGAAGGCCGCCATTTTTTTTTAATAAGCCGCGTAACTCGTTTCAGTTTTTTTTCTTTGTTTTCTTTTGCTTCCGATGAAAATCAAAAAAATTTCGATTCCTGGAATTTTCAAGAATTTTTGACCAAAAAAAAAAAAATTTATAAAAATTTCGTCATTTCCGGTTTGTTAGTCGAAATTTTTTTTTTTTTAACATCTTATTTACGTGATAAGAACCGAATATGTCGTCGCCGGAAAAAAAAGAAAACGTCATCGGAAAATTCCTTTTTCTCACGTATTTGCAAATTTTCTCAACAATTTTCCAGGTACGAAATTTTTTCAAAAAAAAAATTTTATTATTTTCCGGAACACGCATTTAATTACGCATTCCATACAATTTCTAGTTTTCTACTGACACGAACGTCAGGATAAATTACTATTTTATCATTATTATTAAAATTAATTAAAAAACAGTTACAAACGAAAAATATTTAATATTAATTTTCACGTCAATTTTCCGAATCCAAACCCTCGAGCGTCATCATACAAGTTTAAATTTTCTAAAACAATATTGCCAACCTAACAAAAACAAACGAAAAAAGTTAAATTTTAAACGCGTGTGAAAATTTTCATTCCTCGATTTATATTTATTCACCGTTAAAAATTAAAAAAAATTTTTTTTTTCTCCAGCCTCGAATGAAAATTTCTGGAACGAATAAAAAAAACAAAAAAAAAATTCGGGATTGTTTATGTAGTCAATCAATCAGAGAATTTCCAAAAAAAATTAAATCGAAAAGAGAAAAAATAATTTATAACCTTTTTAATGGAACCCGGTCGAAATCAAAACTGGAAAAAAAAAAGGAGGAGGAAGAGGTGGTGGGTGAGGATGAGGAGGAGGGGGGAAATTACGGATACGGAAAATGCAATGATAATAATGATAATGATAATAATGATAAAATATTTAATTCGCGACCCTAAAATAAAAAAAAAAAAAAAGAAAATTTCGTTTTTTGCACGCTCGAAAATTTTTTTTTTTCTCTCTAAAATTTTTCGGGTTAAAATTTTCTTTCCTTTTTTTTTAATCGTGTCTAAAACCACGTTGTTTTTTGTTTTATATTTAATTATTATCATCATTAACGAAATTAATTTTTCTTTTTTTTTTTGAACTTCGCGCCCTTTTTTTGTTATTATTTCATAACGATGAAAATAAAAGCGGCCATTTTTCTTTTTCATTTTCGGGGGGAGGGGGGTGCTTTTTTTGTTTATCGTCGGTCTGCTTCCACTGTTAATATTTTTTGAGAGAGAGTTAGAGAGAGAGAAAATAAATTGCGTTAATTTTTACCGTTCAAAATTTATCATTATTATTTTTTAAGTTTTTTTTCTTTTTTAGTTCGTTCGTTCGTGCGTTTTCTCCAGGAAAATTTTTTTTTTTTTAATGGGGTAAAAAAAAAAGAAAGAAAAAATTTTTTTTTCATTTCTGTCGTCGACGTCGACGTGGACGTCGTCGTCGTCGTCGTTTGTCGTCGTATTGAATGCTAATAATTTGTTTCCATTTTTAATAATTTTCGTATCGCCTCCATGGTAACAACAACCCCCCGAGACAGACGTCAGAGCTTTTCTTTTTTTTCTTTTTTTGTCCGATTCGAAAAAAAAAAAAAGTTTTTTCCTTCATCTTTAAATTTCATTTCGTTTTTTCTTTTTCAATGAAAAAACAAATAATAATAGTAATAATAATAATAATAATAATAATGATAATTATTACGAATAGCAGGAAAACAAAAAAGTTTTTTTTTCTTAAACGTGACTAACTCCAGGAACAAAATTTAAACAATTGCAATAAAAATTTTTTTTTTTTGTTAGGCGATGTTGCCTGCATTGCTTTTTCTTTACCCACCCTCCCCCTCTTCCTCCTCACTCTCCCCACGCACTCTGGAAAAAGAAAAAAATTTTTTACACTTTCCTCGTCAAACCACAATAAAGACTTATTTTGGTAATTTTTTTTTTTGAGGTCTCTCCAAGAAATTTTCCAGACACTTTTTCTTCTTATTTATAATTTTTGGAAAAGTCTGGAAAAGTTACACGATCCTTAACATTTTCTATTAATCTATTATTTTATCTAAAAGGGAGGGAAGAAGAGAAAAAAAAATTAGATTTAAAGACTCGAGGGGAAAAAAATAAATTTTTTTTAAAACGACTGGAATTTTCTCAATTTTCTTTTTACTCCTATTTTTCCACTTTAATTCACCTTCTTTCTTTTTTTTACATAAAGCTTTTTTCAATCTCGAAAAATGTAAAACATTCAAAATTTTCTCTCTCTCTTTTTTTTTTTAATCGAAAAATTTATACGTGACATTCAAACGAAAGGAAATGAGAGAGAGAGAGAATGAAAAATACAGTACGACACACACACACACAGAGAGAGAGAGAGAGAGAGAGAGAGAGACATTACTACACACTCAAACACGTTTCAGAATGACATTGAAAAACACAGAAAGAGAGAGAGAGAGAAAATATGGTACAGAATAAAAGATAGAGAAAGTCAAACATAAAGGCAGCTCGACGCTTACAGAGAGAGAGTTTGTATGACACATATACACACACTTTCAGGGGTGGAGAGAGGGAGAGACAGTACGACACATATACAAACACACAGAGAGAGACAGAGAGATACAGGGAGACAGAGAGTATAATAGAGAGAGAGAGAGAGAGAGAGAGATAGAAAAAGAAAAAATTAAAAAAAAAAAAAGGAAAAATTGAAATGAAAAAAAAGTTTTTTCAAAGGTTACGTACATGAATAACGATAATAATAATAATAATATTTCTTGCATTTAAAATAGAAAAAAATTTAAAAATTATTTAAATGACGTAACAAAATCAAACAAACAACAAACCAAACAAACGAAAAAAAAAAAAAAAAAAAAAAACAGAAAAACCGCGAGACATTATTTTTAATTCATAATTGAAAATGATTTTTACGCTACCATTGAAATATTCCTTTGATTTTTTTTCCCTATTTTTTCCGCCATTTTTTTTTCGATGTTGTTTTTCTTTCAAGGTCAAATTAAAAAATCGTTTCAAGTTTCCTTTAAATTTATTTATTTACTTTTTTTTTTTATCCGTTTGGAAAAAAAAATAAAAATTTTTTATTGGAATAATGGTTTGTCAATTAGACATCAGCAGACGATATTTTTATTGTTTGACGTCATTAATAATTGTTTACATAACAACATTAAAAACAGAAAAAAATTTTTTTTTTTTTTTTAAATAAATATTTTTAAATTATTATTATTATTTTTTTTTTTTATTACTCTCGTTTCTTACGTTAGTAGTAGTAATAAAAAAAAAAAAATTTTTTTAATAGTTGAAAACGCAATGAAAACTTTGTTTTTTTGTATTTTCCGTTTCCGGTCAAACGTGCCGCGGTTAAAATGACGTCATCATATAGCAAATTTATTTCCTAACGACACCACCTTTCTTTCTTTCTTTCCTTTTTTTTCCGTCACGCGGTTTAGTTTTTTTTTCCCCCGTATTTATCGAATCGAATCGAATCGAACGAGATTTTTATTCGATATTTAAATTAAATCATTCGACCGTTAAAAAAAAAAAAATTGGAAAAAACGCGCGATAAAAGGTTTTTTTTAAAAAATTAAAAATTCATAAAATTCATTGCGTTGCATTGTTTTTTTTTTTTTTTTTGCTGTAGTTCACAGCTATAAATTTTTTTTTTCATTATTTTGCTATCGTTCATTAACGACACGACAAAAAAAATTATTTTTATTCTTTTGTTTCCCGCCCTTTTTTTTATTTTTTTATAAAAAATTATTTTTTCCTTTGATTTATATATATATATAATTTTTAATGGTAGAATTAATAACTGAAATTTTCCTTTTTGTGTGCGTAAGTGCGCGTTCGAAACATTTCATTTTTCCGCCATATTATTATTATTATTATTATTATTATTATTATTATTATTATTATTATTATTATTATTATTATTATTATTACTATTATTATTATTATTTCTTAACCTTTTTCATTTTATAATTATACATATTCATGATTCATTTGATAAAAATTGTGTTGCGGAAAAATTTTCATTGAAAAAAAAAAAAAAAATATGAATATGTTAAAAGGAAACGAATGAATGAATGAAAGAATGAATGAATGATGATGATGATGATGATGGTAAAGGAAAGAAAAAAGATTTTTATAGTTCAAAGAATAATTTTTGGGGTTTATTGACGTTTTTATATTATTCGTTTCCGGAATTTTTTACTTTTCTTCTCTTCTGTTTTTTTTTTTTTTTTATCTTATACGAGACGAATAATTTAAATAATAATAAAAAAAGACGTGGAATTAATTAATGAAAAAAAAAAGAAGAAGAAGAAGAAATTAATGAATGGAAAAAACACAAAAACACATAAAGCCAACATAAAAAAAAAAAAAAAAAAATTGAGGAGACCTTGAATGTGAATTAAAAAAAAAAAAAAATTGACGACGACGTCGCCTTTTAATAAAACGTCGTTCCAGACTTGAAAGCAAATAGTTTAATTGAATAG